GGCATTCCTATTGCTGCAGGAGTCCTATTTCCATTGACAAGGTTCCGATTGCCTCCATGGGCTGCGGGGGCTGCTATGGCAGCTTCTTCAGTCAGTGTTGTTATGTGGTCTCTGTTGCTTAAAAATTATAGGAGGCCTAAGAAGTTGGATTCCCTTCAGATGAAAGGCATCACGGTTGAGTGAAATGCTTGTTGGAATTGATATTCTGAGTTGTAGGCTCTTCGTAAATATGTACAGTGGATTTCCTCATTGGGTGTTAGAAAGTTAGAGCTTCCTTTCTTTGGCTACAATAAGATCATGAGGTATGCATTATGGTCGGTGTCACAGTATGTTAAAAAGTAAATTTTCTTGTATTGTATATTTAGTTGATGAACCCATGTGACGTCCAATTTTATATTATGTTAAATTTGTGTCGTATATGTTGTTGGGACAGTTTTGCGTCTAATGTCTTTTATCTTATACCTTTTATGAGTTTTTGTGTTAGATAATGATGGTTTAAGCTTTGGTATTGACTTAAATGATTGCCTTTTGATCCTTGTTGAAATTTTTGAAAATTAAGTTGAAATCTTCAGGGCCTTCCCTCCATCACTCTTCTTCCTAAGCCATGAGTGCTTTACCTTTTGCTTTTGTGTATTTTATTGCTGGTCTACAAATATTATGATCTTGTCTTGTATTTAGATGGTTATGTGATTGAAACAAAATATTGCTGAAGCTTTTCTACTCTTCTTTGTTTGTTTACCACACCATGGAAAGGAAAGGGCTGCTTGAGAGTGGAGATCACAGCCTTTTGTAAGGAAGGAATGAGATACCAGCGATGATAAATTTTATATTTAGAGGTCAACTTAAGCTTATTTTAGCCCACTACCAATCATCCACCCAGATGCTCTTGAGATTTGGTTCTATTATGATATGTATGTTAGCTCTTATTTTATGATTTGTATCTGTCTCTTTCTTCATGATCAACTTATTTTGAATTCTGCTTTTATATCAATATTTAAAGCTAAATAATGTCAAAGTTTTGAGATAAATAGGTTGAATCCTGAATAGGCTCGATTGCCTTTTTTTCTTTGCTTTCATTCCATTAAATAATAATCTTACAATCTATTTTAGGTTCAAAATTTTCTATATAATCTATTTTAGGTAACTTAATAATACATATTCCTCATCTAAATATTCAGCTAAAAATGTAATAAATCAGAATAAAGATATTGAAAATAATTTAACTAAGGAAGCTCATAATTATAGAAAACTCTTATTTTAGCTGTATGATTTTCGTCCTTCATGATTTACTTCCCCCCCTCAAATTGATGCTGACTGATCAGGAAACATCAATTTGCCAACAATAAACTGATAACACTGTCGGGACCAAAAAATCCTCACGCCGTTAGTGTCGAAGCCGAATGTGCCAAAGTAGAGAATGTCAAAGCCTAAGAGAACTTCTGAATCATAACATGATTTGAGCAAAGAAAAGTAAGAAATCCTTTATCCAGTTACACGATCCAAATGCTACCGATCATAGCCTACAAATAAGATCCAGTTACACGATCCAGATGCTATCGATCATAGCCCATAAATAAGATCCAGTTACACCAAATTTTCTCTCTACAATCAATAGGACTCATAAAACTTTGCTCCAAATCTTTCCTAAACCCTTTTCTGCTTCACGAGAAAACATGTCGAAATATCACATGCAAGAGATAGCCGCGAACTTAAGGAACTGAACAGGACAAATCGCTCGGCGGCATGACCACGCCGAGTCGCGGCATGACAACGCTGAGTGGCGGCGCTTTTGTCCTACCCAATCGGGATAAAAAAGTGTGCCGGGCAATCCAATGGCGTAGCTACGCTTGGTTGCGGCGTGGTTATGACACCCGGAGTAAGCTACGCCAGTTTAGGCATGGCTACTCCATGCAGTCTCAGCTCCTTCGACTGTGGGTACTTCCAGGCTCCACAGCACTACTGTTGATAACCATAAGGCTCGACTTTATGTTCAATTTTAACTCTATGTTGCTAAGCTTTAACTTAAGATTATATCAAAAGTTTTCTTATGCATATAAAGATGAGGATAGAGATTCTACTTTCTCCATGTCAATGGTTTGAAGGGAACGCAATTATCTGATGCAAAAAAATGAGGGCTAAACTCAAAGAAAAGATGTCGTTGCTGCTACTTTTATCGTATTCTTTTATCGATTGTGAGAGCTCTTACCTCTCTTATCTCCTCTACTGTAGGAAAATTCCTCCTTTTTCAGGCAGAAAGGTTTAAGCGCCTCTCTCTCGCTGTGTCTATGCTTTCTATATGCTTTGGTTTGTGGTATGCTTCAATACACTCGAGAGATGTCCTTTTCACTATAGCAATTGGTCCTAGGTTGTACAGAAGCAAACGAGTGATCTGCCTGTATAGACTGTAGAGATCCTTGCACACACATCAGCTGATTTAGCCTTTCCTTATTTTTCTCTTGTTTATTACTGCTTTAAAGGTGGAATATGTTTTTATAATATCATGCAATTTATTAAATTATTACACACGTACCACACAATTCTCATGTATTTACATATCTAACACCTAGACTTTAATATTTACATTTATAACACTTAAGTTCTTGATAACAAATCAAAAATACCATTTTTATTAATTTTTTAAATGTCGAGCACCTTTTAATGCATAGGTTTATAGTACTAAGGTGTTATAAATGTAAATATCTAATTTTTTGTGTTAGATATGTAAGTCCATAAGAATTGCAGTATGTATGCCAATTTCCTTAAATTTTATCAGTAGATTAGGTTTAATTAAACATAAATTTGAAATATTAAACTTCACAATGTGATTTTGTTTTAACTTGTTAAATGGAAAAAGAATTCATCACGTTTTAAATAATTATTATTCTTTATAGTCTCTAGGCACTATTCAATAAGAAAAGAAATATTCAGTCTAATGTCAATTTGGTTAAACGAATTTGGTTTAGTTCATACTCGGGTGACCCAAATTGTGTTGGTTATTTAATAGATCAGAAAGACTGACCCGAACTTGACTCACCTTCAACCCGGTTGGCCCCATCCCGATTCAAGTAAACTTAAGGCAAGACAACCATACCGGTAAAGCTAGGATTTTCTTGTCAATTTCGGCTTGGCAGTTTAATTTTTGTAATAAATCCAATTTTATTTTGAGTTGATGTGTTGAGTTGAACTCTGCTCGAAAATTTAACAAGTTAAAACTCTACATCCAAATCTGATGTTGGGAACTACTACTGGGATGCGGGATGCGGCTCCTACATTCACGGGGAGAGCCGACCGGGCAACATTTTTTTTTGTTTCCTTTCTATTATTCTAAGAGTTTTCCTTTGTCCTTTCTCCCTTTTTAGTCATTTTTTATATATATATATGTATTTGGGTTTAGATCTGTGATTTTTGTGCATTTTTGTTTGAGAATATAGTTGGCGTCTCTATTTTCCCTTCGAGAGCTATATCCAAGGGCCCGAGCGATGCTGTCTTGCTAATATGGAAACCGATCCACTGTTCAAATTGACAGTTTCTCATGTTTGACAACAAATTGGATTTGATACTTGAAATTAATTATAAAATTAATATAAAATTAATTGCTTTTATTTTAATTCCTTCCCTAGATTTTTCATAGCTTTCCTTGCTTGAATCCCGTCATCTATGATTTGTTCCAGAAGAGAAAAGGAAATAATTAATGAGTTTTTTTATTTATTTGATTAATTCCTTAATGGCGTAATAACATAATAGAATTAATAAATAAGCATGTTATAGCTCCCCTTGTAATCTCTCTCAAGATTTGGTTTACCAGGCTTCTTCGAATATTGCTTTCGAAAGGAGAGAGAGCGAGAGAGAATGTTTTTTCTTGGAATCGTCGAGGTGATTGACTGGTGTAATTTCTCAGGCTAATAAAATTATCTACAACTCCGTGGACGTATGCATATTGCCGGATCACGTAAATCTGTGTGTTTCACTGGGTTTTCTATTTTATGAATTTTTTCGTTCCAATTTTTGCTTTATTGTTGTTATTTTTCAGAACAACTGGTATCAGAGCATTTGTTTAGATTTAAGGAAAGCGATGATCAGAGACAAAGTGATGACGTCAGAGATTGAGAAGTTTAATGACAGATTTTGGTTATTGGAGGATACAGATAGATGACTGCTTCTATGGAAAAAAAATTTCATTTTCCGTTACTGGGAAAACGATCGGATAACATGGACATGACAAAATAGAATCTGTTGGATCGACAGGTTCTTGGGGTTATATGATTAACCCTGTCAAGATCGGTTGCCCACAACATCATCAATGATATGACTACTGCAGATCTCATGGCGGCTTTACGAGGTATGTATGAAAAGTCATCGGCGAATAACAAGGACATTTCATGAAAAAGTTATTCAACTTGAAAACGGAAGAATGTGTGTTTATTGTTCAACATCTAAATGATTTCAATACCATCACTTTCATTTGTGAAAATTGATTTTTACAATGAGATATGTGCGCTGATATTGTTAGTTTCATTGTCAAATGGTTGGGAAGCCATGAGAATGACAGTTACTAATTCTGCATGTAAATCTAAACTGAAAGATGATGATATTTGTGATTTGATTTTGGCTGAAGAGGTGCGCAGGAAAGATTCTAGCGAGACCTCGGGTTCGAGTTCGGAATTGAATATTGATTCCAAAGGAAGATCACTAGAAATGAACTCAAACAAAGGGAGATGAAAGTCAAAGCCTGGTCAACAGACAATCTATTGGAATTGTGGCAAAACTGGTCATATAAAAAGAAACTGTGAGAATCTCAAGAAGAAGATGAATGATAACTATAATGTTGTAAATGAAGAAGTACAAGATGCACTATAATTGGCAGTTCACAATTCTGTTGATGAGTGAATACTTGATTTATGGGCTTTCTTCCATACATCTTTCTACCGGGAGTTAATGCGAAATTATGTTGCAAACGATTTTGAGAAGGCATATCTGGCTAATGGCTTTGAACGTGGTGGGGATGTGAGACGTTGATATTGCACTCCCTAACAAGAGCAAATGAACTTTGCAAAAGTTCAGACACATTCCCGAGTTAAAAAATCACATTTCTGTTGGGCAGCTTAATGAGGGTGGTCATTTAGTAGTGCTCTCAGATAGCACCTAAAAGGTTACCGAAGGAGCATTAGTACTGGTTCGGGATTAGAAAATTGACACACTATATATGACTACAGGTTTAGTCAACACTGTTGTTACTACAGTAGCAGAAAACAAGAAAGATTTGTGGCATTGCAGACTTTGTTACATGAGTCAGAGCTATAAAAAAATATTGCAAGATGAAAATTCAAGCATATGGGAGCTGACTATGAAGGAGGAGACAGATTCCCCGCCAGGAAATCAGACTTGGAAGCTGATAGAAATTCCACCAGGGAAGAAGACACTGCACAACAAGTGAATGTATCGGGTGAAAACCAAGCTACTAGACTTGTTGAAAAAGACTTTCATCAGAGGCAGGATATTGCCCATGCACGGGAAGTTGTAAATAGATACTAAGTAACCCAGGAAAGAGCTTGGAGGTACAAGACTATGTTGACACTGATATGTTGTCTAAGGGTGTTACTTTTAAGAAGCTGAAGTTGTGCTCGACTTCAGCTGGTCTTCTGATATGAAGTCGAGGCTTTAAGTTGTTGAGATGGAAGATATCACATTTGAAGAAAATGACGATGCCGCCAGTGTACCTGTCTCCAAGTGGGAGATTTGTTGTGAATATGAAAATCAGTCCGCTGTTTAAATTAACAGTTTCTCCTGTTTGACAACAAATTATATTTTATACTCGAAATTAATTACAAAATTAATTGCTTTAATTCATTCCCAAGATTTTCTACAGTTTTATTACATTAATCCCGCCATCTATGATTTGCTTCAGAAGAGAAAAAAATAATTAATGAGCTTCATTAATTATTTGATTAATTCCTTAATGAGACTAATAACATGATGAAATTAATAAATAGCCATGTTATAACTCCCCTTGTAATCTCTCTCGGGATTTGGTTTCCTAGGCTTCTTCTTCGGCTGTTGCTCTCGAGAGGAGAGAGGAGAGAGAAGAGAGAGAGATTGTTCTTTCTTGTAATTATTGAGACGATCGACAGGTGTAATTCCTCAGGCTAATGAAATCCTCTGCAGCTCCGTGGTGGTAGGCAATTTGCCGAATCTCGTAAATCTATGTTTTGCTGTGTTTTTTGTTTTGCGAATTTTCTAGTTCCAATTTTCGCTTTATTGCCATCATTTTTCAAAACAAGGTGATTATCTTCCATATCCCCTTCCGCATCCTCAAGTTGCTCCTGGCCTCCTTTCATTGGTGCAGCCGCCTCCGAACGGTAGCCCGTTGTTTGTTTTCACCGCCGTTCTCCAATTTCAGCCGCCTATCCTCTCTGTTGCTGCCCTAGATGGCCATCCTATTGCTATCCTGCAGCCCCCCTGCATCCCCTGTCATTGCTGCTGTCATTCCCTCTTGTGGCTCCAACCAGAACAGTCGCCATCTGCTGTTTCCTCGCTGTTGCCACCTTGGACGGCCATCCTCTGGCTGTCCTGCTGTCTCTCCGCATCCCTTGTCGCTGCTGCCGTCATTCCCTCTCGCTGCCCCCGACCAGAACAGCCGCGCTATCCATGGTTTCCCTCACTTTCCAGGCTTTGTTCTTGCTGCCACCATCCAGGACAGCCACCTAACTCTATGTTCCTGCTGCTTCGCACCTTCTCCTCGCTACTACCAACACCCCTTTGCTTCCGACACACTTTAAAGCCCATCAACTGCCCTTTGTTACCTCTCCAACAGTCATTTGTTATAATTTTTTAATTTCATTGTCTTTGATTGTAAGTTCCTATTTGAATTCTATAATAATATTTATTTTTTATTGTTGTTTGGCTAACTCCTGTATTTAGTTACATCTTTGTGAATCTAAATCTTTTTAATAGTTTTAAAATCGGATTATCGTGTAGAATCAATTTTTTTTACATCCCTAAATATATGAGACTACGGGTAATTCCAAAATTTCATTAGAAAGATTGGTGCAAACAATTTTTGATATATTCTAGGGAAATTATTCTTGCAAATTTGCATTGTAATTATCAAACCATAATGATGACAATTTTAATAAATAATGTCTTATATAACATCACAATCAGCCTGCATATTATTATAATGCCAAAATATGACCCAACGGCTAGAGCTAGTTGGTCACAAACGTGGAACACGCATTATATCAACACCTTAGACAAACGCCAGTTATTAGATGGTCCTTAAGCCACTACTTTATTAATAAATCTCTCTTAATATTGACAAACCAGTCTATTAACAGCTTTTTAAAATTGTTGTTATATAATCTAATCCTTCCTGGGTCGCCGTCAACCCATCCTACCGTTTACTTTTTGTTTTGATTGATTGTGAAGAAATAGAAGAGAGGAAGGTTTCTTTTTCTCCTCCATTTTTAACTAATTTAAAGCTTAAAAATAATAATATTTGTATAACAGAAGGAGAAAGAGAAGGTAAGGCTTTTTATTTTTCTTTTTTCTTGTGAATGGGAGAAATAAAAGAAAATCTATGCTGATAGAGAGAGACAGAAAGTATTCCCATGTCTATGTTGATAGGAAGGTCGGCGCTCTTCTCTACCACATAGAAGAAATTAGACGATTTCCTTATCACTTTCTCTTCTTTGTTCCTTTTAATTATCTGTATTTGTTTAGTTTTTTATTTTTTTGGGACCTGCTCTGAAGAAGGTAAGAACCTCCTATCTCTTTAATCTTAGAATTTCTTTTTTTTTTTGAAGGAAGATAATCATTTAATAATTATTTCATTTAATAATTATTGGGTATATTTATAATTTCTGATGTATGTCTGTTTAGCTGTTTGATAATTTGCTACAGAAGATAATTTACTATCAAGGATTTCTGTAGACAATATTGCTATATGTATGTTCAATTTGTCGCAATTTAGCATTGAAGCTTTATATATGCTTTTTTGTGTCTAATAATAATTCAAAATTGATTTTGTTTAAAAGCTTGGCGTGTAAGAATGAATAGTTTTTTTCATCTTTTTCTAGTTATTTTAGTTTTCAAAAAGTCTATCAAGCTGCTTTTATAATTCTAAGAAATATAAATTTGTTTTCAGAAAAAAAAAAAAGGTTTTTGGCATCTTTTCTACTTGAAATATGTTCTCTAAAATATGAGTAAATAAAAAAATAAAAAGAGAATAAAAGCAAGTCATGCATAGACTAAGCAAGTTACAGACTAATCATGTTTTCCGATAATTTCTTAAAATTTTTCAGAGTAAAACTTGTGAAGACAAGCTTTTGGAGATCCAATAGATGTTAGGGTAAAGAGTCTTTGTTTGAAGTTGATCTAGAAAACATGTTTTCTTTTGCAAAGTATATATTAATGCTCTTCATTTAATAATTACTGAGACATTTTAGAACTTATTTAAGAAATAAATTTCCTGCAAATTTATGTATGCTTTGATTAACAATACCTGTGTTAGTTATGATCTACACAACCAAAAGTATACATTTCTCATCTATATAGAATAACACATGAGCTTCATCAACTCTGTTGAAGTTTACATCTCTGTAACAGCTAACCTTCTTTCTTCCTCCTCCAGCTTCAGACAGTTTGCTTCCAGTAGTTAGAATTTCTTCCCAAAGAAAAAAAACAACTTTTTTTCCAAATGAGCAATCTTAAGTTGGCAGTAGAAGTTATCAGTGCTCATGACCTCTACCCGAAGGAAAGCAATGGCTCCTGTAATCCCTGTGTTGAGCTCCATTTTGATAACCAGAAGTTTCGAACCGCCATCAAAGATGGAGACATCAATCCCCACTGGAACGAGCTATTCTACTTCACCATCTCCGATCCCTCTTCCCTCCATGATTCCCCTCTCAAAGCAGTCGTCTACCACGTAAACAAAGAAACCAGATCGAAGTCGGCTATTGGTAAAGTTCAGATTTCTGGCTCCTCATTTGTTTCTCAATCTGACGCAGCTGTCCTCTACTATCCATTGGAGAAGAAGAACATGTTTTCCAGCACAAAAGGAGAGCTTGGGCTCAAAGTTTTTCTTACTGATGATCCATCTGTGAGGTCTTCCAGTCCTCTCCCTGATTCTGATTTCTTTCAGGATTATCAGTCTGAAGATCAAATTCCATTTCCAAATCCAACTTCTTCAAACATCTTCCATCACCTTCCCCGAGAGCAAAACCAGCTCAAAACTTCTTTCATGGTCGACGAAATGAAATCAGCTCCTCAAAGACCAACAAGAGTTTTCTCTCCTCCACAACAACAGCCATTGGAGTTCCAGCTCAAAGAAACAAGACCAAAGCTCGGAGGCGGACAAGTTGTGGGAGGTAGAGTAATCCCTGGAGAGAAGCCAACCAGCACCTACGATCTAGTCGAGAAAGTCGAATACCTCTTCGTCCGTGTTGTCAAAGCTCGAGATTTACCCTCCAAGGACATCACCGGAAGCCTTGATCCTTACGTCGAGCTGCGACTCGGGAACAACAAAGCCAGAACAAAACACTTTGTGAAGAATCAAAACCCAGAGTGGGATGAAGTTTTCGCCTTTCCGATCGACCGGCTTCAATCCTCGGTCCTCGAAGTTCTGGTTAAAGACAAGGATGTTATCAAAGACGACTTTGTTGGAATGGTGTTCTTCGATCTCACTGATCTCCCTAGGCGTGCACCGCCTGACAGCCCGCTGGCTCCGGAGTGGTACTGGATGGTTGATAAGAAGGGAGGAAAGGGGAAAGGAGAGCTCATGTTAGCAGTATGGATTGGAACTCAGGCTGACGAGTGCTTCCCCATTGCTTCACATCCTGATTCGATGGGAGGGGGACCGACTGCTGCTGCTTTCAATTCTCTAATCAGATCAAAGGTTTATCATTCTCCGCGGCTTTGGTATGTTCGTGTCAACATCATCGAAGCTCAAGACATTATAATCGCTGACAAAACCAGGTTTCCCGACGTATTAGTGAGGTGCCAAATTGGAATACAGGTTCTCAAAACCAAGCCGATCCAGGCGAGGACGATGAATGTTTTATGGAATGAAGAGTTCATGTTCGTCGCCGCAGAGCCGTTTGAGGAAGCCTTGCTTCTCTCAGTAGTCGACCGCGTCGCATCCAACAAAGAAGAAACCATCGGCCGAGTTCAAATACACCTCTCCACAGTCGAGAAGCGCTTGGACGATAAACTTATCAACACGAAGTGGTACACCCTGGACAAGAATGCGGTAACAGAGGACGAAAAGGAGAAGAAAAGGGAGAAATTTTTAAGTAGATTGCATGTAAGACTCTGTCTGGATGGCGGCTACCATGTGCTTGATGAGTCAACTCATTACAGCAGCGATCTCAGACCAACAGCGAAGCAGCTATGGAAGCAATCGATTGGCTTACTTGAGCTCGGAATCCTGAATGCCGATGGCCTCCCACCGATGAAGACGAGAGAAGGAAAAGGCTCCTGCGATAGTTACTGTGTGGCAAAGTATGGCCAGAAATGGATTAGAACTCGAACTGTCTTGAACAATTTGAGCCCAAGATACAACGAGCAGTACACATGGGAGGTTTATGACACCGCCACCGTCCTCACCGTCGGAGTTTTTGACAATAACCAGTTTGAAAAGGGCAGTGAGGAAGCCAAGGATGGAAGAATTGGCAAAGTTAGGATTAGACTTTCAACTCTCGAAACAGGAAGAGTCTACACTCACTCTTATCCCCTACTTGTTCTTCATAGTTCCGGCTTGAAGAAAATGGGTGAGCTCCATCTTGCGATCCGGTTCTCATCAACCTCCCTTCTCAACACGATGTTGATATACTCGAAGCCGTTACTGCCCAAACTACATTACCTTCATCCATTATCCATAACCCAGCTCGAAGTTCTTCGCAACCATGCAGTTCAACTCGTGGCTTCTAGGCTGAGTCGAATGGAGCCGCCGTTGAAGAAGGAAGTCGTTGAGTACATGTCAGATGTCGAATCACATCTATGGAGCATGAGACGAAGCAAAGCGAATTTCTCGCGGTTCATGTCCGTCTTCTCCGGTGTAATGGCGGTCGGAAGATGGTTCGGTGATGTCTGTTACTGGAAAAATCCGATAACAACAGTGTTAGTTCATGTCCTGTTTGTGATGCTTGTGTGCTTCCCTGAGCTCATAGTTCCAACCATTTTCCTCTACTCCTTTCTGATTGGAATGTGGAATTATCGATTCCGGTCCCGCCATCCTCCTCACATGAACACGAGAATTTTACAGGCTGACTCGGTGCATCCGGATGAGTTGGATGAGGAGTTTGACTCGTTTCCGACTAGTAAAGGGCCGGAGTTGGTGAGGATGCGTTATGATAGGCTGAGGAGTGTGGCGGGCAGGATGCAGACGGTGGTCGGCGATGTGGCGACGCAGGGGGAGAGGTTGCAGATGCTTTTGAATTGGAGAGATCCGAGAGCAACTGCAATATTTTTGGTGTTTTGTTTGTGTAGTGCTGCGGTGCTTTATGTGACTCCATTCTCGGTGTTGGTGGTGGTTGCTGGTTTTTATTTGATGAGGCATCCAATGTTCAGGCATAAGATGCCTTCTCCAACTATAAACTTCTTCAGGAGATTGCCTGCAAGAACAGATTCTATGTTGTGATGGGGAATTTGGGTTGCAGGCTCTTGTTCTGAGAAATATTTATGAATTTAGTTTTGAAATTTTTAGTGATTTAGATTTGAAATATGTAAAAATTTTTAGGGAATTTTGATGAAGATGTATGATGTATTTTCAAGTGTGATGCCGTAAGCTGCATTTTGATACATGGTGCTTGTATTGAAATATTTTAACTAATTGGTTTCAAGTTATTGGACTTTATAATCAAATCTGATCTTCACAAACATTTGTGGTCTTAGGAATTTCTTAAAATGTTGAGAAACATAATATAGACGTGATAAACACAATAATGTGTTGTTATTGTCATAATCTACAGTTCAATACATAATGCATGTTTTTGACATCCTTAGGTGCCTTAGGATGTGATTTGAGAGAAAATATTATGCCCGGATGATGAACGTGCGAATGACGGTGTGGATCGCACCATAGTGCCGAACGCATGTTTTCGTGTGATCCATGTCATCATTCGCACATCCGGTTTAGCGGATGTAATTTCTTATGATATTAAGGATGTCTTTTTTCTTCCCTCTCATCCCTTAAAATTGCCTTTTATTCATGAAAGCCAAAAATTCGTTTTCTATTTCTCGGCCTTTCTTCTCCTAATCCTGTTTTGGTGTGTTTATTTATTTGGTTAGGATGATTTGGATTGAAATTTATAAAATTAACTCATTTAGTATATTAAAAAATGTGGGTTAAGTTGATCAAATATATTGATGAATCAAACAAAATCGAACGGTAGTTTGGTTTGATTATTTCAATTTTGTTTTAAATAGACTTAAAGTTAACTCCATTTAGAAATTATATGTGCAATTTTTATTACATAATTAATGAGTGATAAGCATAATTAAAATTATTGTACATATGTAATGTATCAGCATGAATCTCGAGGAAATTAAACAGATTAGGAGATGAAAAAGTATGGTTAAAGAGGACTCATAGGCGGAAGATCAAAAGCTACACTAGCGGAAGATCGAAGGGGCTTAGCTTGCAATCGCTTTGGCAATAAGCATATCTCTTTGGCAATAAGCATTACTAAAATGTCGCCCACATTCAAATTCGAGTTGGCATTAGTATTGTCACAACATACTTCATCTTCACCATTTTGGGGCTAAAGAGAAGATCCAACATTTTATTTGTACTTGATTAATATTTTTGGTTATTAATTTTTTTATTGGTTATTTAGGTTAATGATAGTTTTACTAAACACAAGAACTATCTTGTGTTAATTCAAAATATTTAATCGCTTTGGCAATAAGCATTAATAAAATGTCGCCCACATTCGAATTTGAGTTAGCATTAGTATTGTTACAACATACTTCATCTTCACCACTTTGGGGCTAAAGAGAAGATTCAACATTTTCTTTGTACTTGATTAATATTTTTGTTTATTAATTTTTATTTTGGTTATTTAGGTTAATGATAGTTTTACTTAACACAAGAACTATCTTGTGTTAATTCAAAATATTTAGAAAAGACAATACAATATAATTTATGATAAAAATAATTAATCATAGAGTTATAACTTTTAGATTAGATTGATTGTGTGGTAACTTCATTTGATTAGGTTTTTCCAATTTAATATTTTTAGAGTTTGCTTCATGTTGAACTCCCACTTAGTAAAGTTTAATGGGTCTCAATTAAATTTCAATTTTCATATGGCTCATTTAAAATAAATAATTATTATTTATCAAGAAATAAATATGCCCTTCTTTGTTAGGACCATTATAGCTTAATCAAATCCTCAAGTTAAAATATTTTTGTATGCATAATTAATCTGTTAAATATAATTGATTTTATTTATGCAATTCATGTTTTGATATATAGAGAAAGTTGCTCATACTGAATAATACTTTTAAAATTAGTTGTTAGTAATGTGTAGAATATACATATTTAGTATAATTATATGTATGTCGTATTAAGCCTGTTTCGATGAGTCTTTGACCTGATTATTTATGGGCAAACACAAATGCACATGTCATTCTATTAATAAAGTGAAACTGAGTCAGATTATTTTCACGAGAATAATTGATGAATTCTTAAATTGACGGTAACCGCTCGTTAAAACTCTTTTTTCTATTCAAAACAAAACTTTTTTAAAATGGCTTTGAAAATTTTCAAAATGACTAAATATCAAAATATTAAATTTTGATGAATTTACCATTTTAAAAGTCAAATTTTATGAAAGGTTATCGTTCAAAATGAAGCCATCAATCAGAAGCAAGATTGATTTAAAGTCTCTATCAATAGCATAAAAAACAGTAAAATTAAAACTCTAATGTGCTATTTTTATAGGTCTGTTTGAGGTAGTTGGTGTTGTTTGAAGAAGCAATTATGAAGCTGCTGCAGAAGAAACTGTTTTAAAAAAACTATGACGGTTATTGCAAATTTATTTTATTTTCAAAAAAATCATACAACAATTTTCTGGTAGCCATTACCTTTTAACAGCTAAGGTTGAAAAAAAAATCAACTTTTTATCACAAAAACATTTAAAAGCAGCAAGAAACCAGTTCCCTAAACAGAACTGTGGTGACGGTCTGAAAAACAAAGCAGACAGAAAGCTGCCTCAATCAGAACCTCTGTAATTTCAAAAATTGGAAATCAAATTTTCATTAAAGATTGGTATGATTCAAAAGCAATGTTTCCATTCTCTTAAACCCTAGTTGTGATTCTCCTAGTTTAAATTTTGGCTATCAAAATCATTAAACTACATTAAATTATAAACAAGAGTGTGAACTCATACTAAATGAAATTAGAAAATACACGAACAAGCTCAGGAATTAAAATGTAAGAAAATCTTTTTCACAAAATTTTAACTAGTAAATTATAAATCCATTCTAAAATTTCTTACTCTTGCATGCTTTTACCACACAATCACTGGAAATATTCATTTCAACCATAAAAGCAAGTGCTTAGAAAATTAACAACAACAAAAAAATGAAGATAAAAATGAAAAATAGGTTTATAAAAAATAATAAAACATTGAAATTTTGATTTTGAACTTGAAAAAGTCTTCATGTTGTGTTGTCGCGTTGCACTGTCGTGGTTAAAGAGCTACGGAACTAGCTCAATGTTGTGGCACGTAATGTCTGGTGCTGCGACGCAAAGCTCTGTGTCTCTTGGTTCTTTATTTTGATGTAGGATAGTCAACATTGAGGCATTATGTTCTTTTGTCTTTTGGCTCCTCTTATCTTCAATAGCACCAATTCAACATTGCGTCACTGGATCGTTGGTGCTGTGATTTCAAGTTCTCAAGAAACTTCATATTTGTGAAACCCAACACAACGCTTAGGCATTGTGCACAACATAGCATGTTCCATTAACCTTCACCAAATCTTTAGTGGCTTTCCTGTACAAAAAAAACAAGCAAATATAAAAGAAAATAATAATAATGATAAAACATATAAATAAGACTAAGTAATTAGGAAAATTTTTAGATATTTTCTCACTCTCCCAAAAAAACATCAAATTTTCATGAAAGCCAGGCAAATTTATTGGATCATTAGTTTATAAAGAAATATATATATATATAAAGCTGCAATAAACTATGTCATGATTATAATATGTGGGCTATTGTTACACTAATTTTTTTTTCATTTATTTGAGTGAACTTAATATAAAATAGGCGCATGCCCAATATGCTAGATCTTGAACTCAAGATATATTGATTAACTGCCCGTTGTCACGGACAAAAAGTACTAGGTATAGAGCCGAAAAACAGTATTTAAGTTCTTGGCTGCCCACCACTCCGAATAACTCTTTTGGGAGGTGACACTATGCTCTCAACCAACAAGTTAAAATGATTTTCATAAATTAGAATTTATAAACACATAAAATTTTGGAAGATTTACATACTTACCGCTTGATTCAATGTATTTATATATTTAGGTCCAAAATTTCAATTTTAACATATGTTTTCAGCCATTTTTATGCATGGAAATTCGTGTTTCATATTTTAAAAATTAAGATAGTTATATTTTTATGTGATTTAAAAAATTTGAGACCTATTGATGTAAAATATAAATTTAGAAGTTAGATAGCTAAATACTTGGTCGAGCCGAGCTGGACCGGCTCAGCTCGATACAGATGGGTTGAGTTCGGATTGAAATCGGCTCGTGGCTCATCATGTTCAATTTCGAGTTAGCTCAGCTCAAATTTCAATCAAGTTCGATCAAACTTGAAATTAAATCGGGCTCCATTCGGCTCAAAAGAGAAATAAGATGACTCAAATTTGAGTTAGTTGGATCCGTTCTAGCTCAAAATAGGCTCGATCATGCTCAAAATTGAAACTTATTGCTCAAATTGAGCTATGTGGATCCATTATAGCTCAAAGCTCGTTATACTCGATTTTATTTGTTAGCATACATAATTTTTATATAGAAAAAATGAACTTAATAATGACGCATTCGCACACGTCCTCAAAGTGCTCTTCAAAAGCGCGATTTTTAGACGCAAAAATCGAGAGCTCACAAATATAAAAATTTGATTTTTAAAATCAGATAAATTTCAGGGCCGCATCTTCTTCATGACGCAGGAGTGCAGCAGTGCGACGCGTCGATGCTTTGGCCGCCTACGTGACGCCTAAGTTCGAGTCGACATGGCGGACAGTTAGGGCTTGCTGAACTTGTGGCTGGAAATTTTTCTTTTTGGTAGCGGTGGAAGAATCAGATTTCCCTAAAGCGATCTCGCCGCTTAGATTTTCATGCGTTCACATGGCGGACCTGCGCTATAAACCTACCGCCCCGCTTCTTTCGATGTTCTGTTCCGCTTTCATTCCTCTCCGAGCCGTCGTGTTCTGAAAACCCTAATTTACAGCTTCGGTGCTCTTTTGTTACTTTGCTGTTTGCTTTGTGATTGGGAGAGTTTTCTGATATGTCGAGCGTGGCTTCGCAGTCGGCTAAATCCGTCCACGATTTCACCGTGAAGGTTAGTTGAATCGATCCTTAGATGTGTGTTTCTTGTTTATTTGGGATTATTTTTTTGAAGGTTTAATTTACCGGTTTAGGTGCTTTCTTCAGCATTAATTCTTTACTTCAGGTTTGCGGGTATTGAATTCTGGAGCGTAAAAGTGTGATTTTTCATTGTAAAAATTAATCTGAATGTTTGATTTAGATGGAGAAAAAAATTGTTTTTTGGATTGTTATGAATCTGTTGGTGCTATTGGTGTTGAGGATAGACCCATTTGATTTTGTTTCTGAATTAATTACTTGGTTTTTGTGCGGATTGGAGTTTCAGAAGTTTCCTTCTTGATGCATGCGTGCATCATTTTTGTTGGTGAGTGAGTGAAAACCTATTTCAAACACTGAAAGTGAAAGAGCAAAAAAAAAAAAAACAAAATAAAAGAAGGTCAATGCATATAAGCACACAAAAATCTTATACAAAATCACCTAATTTTATGTGATTGTGGAGGATGATAGTTCCAGTATATATTATACCTTCTAAAGATAATGCCCCCTCTTTATAAACAATACTTTAGACATTGGAAGCTACATTAAGGCTTGTTTGGGATCAATTTTGTTTATTGTTATTATTTTTTTTTATTATTTTTTTTGTATGAACAAATTAACATATTTTTGAAAACACTCAAAAGAATTTTTAGGTAATGTGGACGTTTTTAGAAACAACTATACTGTAATAAAAAAGTTCAAATATGTTTTGTTTCAAATCAAAACATAATCAAAATATAATAAAAACAATAATGGAAAAAAAATGGAAATGATTTCAAATGGCCCCAAAGTTTCAAAGCTTTAATAAAATGATAAACAAATATTATATATGTTTTGAAGGCATCACACGTTCCACTTCTAACCCTCAGGATAGCTTTATTATATGCTAGCAAATTTTCTTCCTATCCAAAATTTATCATAAATGCCAAGTTTAATTAGGCTACATATATATCTCCATGAATTTTCTCCCCCAAAGCAAAGTTGGCTTCTTTGTTCTATATTGTTGGTTTTCTTACATCTCTACAAATTTGATATGTAATTGATGATAGGTGGAGTTGCAATCAAACCAAGCCGAGCTGTGGCAGTGGTTGTTTAAGCTCGAGCTCATTTATTAAAAACTTTTTCAAGATCGTCTCGTGCTCGATTCTAGCTTCTGGGATACTATTCAGTTTCGGTTTATTTCATTCTTGTTCTAGCTTTATTTGAGCTCTATTTGAGCTTATTTTATTTTATGATTGTCGAGTTTTAAACGAACAACTCATTTAGCTTTTTCAATCTAAGCTTGCTAAGCAAGTATATAATAGCTTCAATTTAAAAATTTTATTGAATTTTAACAAGCCATGATGATCTTTTTGAGGCTACAAATTAAAATTATATTTATAGAAGTTTTTAAAGAAAGGTTAAAAATCCCGCCTCTTCAACCCAAACTGAACAATCTGCACGCTCGTGCGTGCAAAGAGCTCAAGCAATGGAGCTCTGTCTTTTCCTTTTAACAATAATGATGATAAATCTCCCTCAAATGTGAGATTAAATGTATATAACGGTGTGAAGTTTAAAGCTTCACTTGAAAGCCATATTAGTTTTAATTTGTGTTAGGTACTTGAAAGGTTGAAAACATAAATTTGTTTGTTTTTTTAACTAGTATGGAATTTCACATGAAATTTACCATTAAATTATATTAATACGAGGTTTCATGTTAAAACTTGGAAGTGTCTTTTTTTCTTTTAATATGGTTATTATAGTTAGTTTTTTAATTATCTTTTAATTAATAATATAAAAAATTAATTTAATTTTAAATATTTTAATAACTTTTATTTAAAATTTACTTATATTTTTATATTAGGCTTTACGTTAATATCGTGCTTTAATTGAGTTTTTTAACGATCACAAGTTTGAAATGATATTCTTCATAATTATAGATAAGAAGATGTACATATATGCACGACAGGCATATATGCACGGCAGGATCGTGGGGATTGATGTTCTTATTAGAAAATTACATATATGCACGACAGGATCGTGGGGATTGATGTTCTTATTAGAAAATTGGATGTGCATGCCAAAACCGAAAAGAATTGATGGAAATTCTTATGTGATGTAAGAAACCAAACAATAAAACCGTCCCATGGCTGAAACAAATTGAATTATAAGTAGAACCTGCGGTAAAATGGATGGATGGAGGTAAAACTTGACCCAATGCTCAACGCAAACAAGAACGTTGGTATAAGACCACAACTCTATGCTTGACGTGAGTAAAGAACCTTGGTACAATGGGAGACGCCACAAACGGGGTGGAAATCCACTTGATAAGTCGGGAAAGAACTCCTTAGGCGATGACCTAGAGTTCCGTTGGAATCCTAAGGAAATCGTGGGAGACAACCCAAATGCAAGTTATTTTTTTGGCAAGAATCAGAAGTCCCCTTCTCATTTAACATAAGACCTATAAATAGGCTAAAGCTTACAAGAAAACAAAAGAGAGAGAAGATAAATATCTTCTAAAACAAATGAAAACTACATCAATTTGACATGCAAGCCATTATTAAACCACAATAAAAAATACAAAATATCCAGCAATAATAATATAACTCCTTTATCTTTGGGCTTGGAATAAGTGGACAAATCTTTGTGGCTCTTTCTCCTTCAATTCTATTGGTTTGAGTCCAAGCCTCCTGGACTAATCCATTAAGAGCTTATTTCACCCTCTTTGTACATCTAGTAATTGACCCACATGGAACTTGAATTAAATCTTCTCTTAAAGTCGTGTCATTGCCACCATGCTATCATTTGCATCATTCCCCTCCTCTTGAAAAAGGTTTGTCCTCAAATCAGTGCCTTCATCAAAAGGACTTAAATCAGTAACATTGAAAGTGGCACTCACATTATACTTACCTGATAAATCCAGCTTGTAGGCATTGTCGTTGATACGCTCAAGTACTTGGAAAGGACCATCTCCTCTTGGAAGTAGTTTGGAATGCCTTTGTTATGGAAATATTTTCTTTCTCAAGTGTAACCAGACCCAATCTCCAGGTTCTAATATCATTTTGTGTCGCCCCTTGTTGGCATGTTTTTCATATTGCTTTGTTCTTTTTTCAATATTCAGTCGTGCCTTCTCATGTATCTGCTTTACAAACAACCTTTTTCTTACCATCCAAGTTAACATGCTCAGAAACAGATAATGGAATTAAATCAAATGGTGTTAAAGGATTAAAACCATAAACAATTTCAAAAGGTGAAAATTTAGTAGCAGAATGAATGCCCTCTTATGAGCAAACTCAACATGCGGTAAACAATTTTCCCATGTTTTGATATTTTTTTTTATGATTGCCCTTAACAAATTAGACAAAGTCCTATTTACTACTTCAGTTTGACCATCAGTGTGACAAGTAGTAGAAAACAATAATTTTGTTCCTAACTTACACCACAAGGTCTTCCAAAATTAACTCAAAAACTTAGGATCTCTATCAAAAATAATTATTTTAGGCATACCATGTAATTTTATAATCTCCTTAAAGAACAAATCTGTAATATTAGAAGCATCATCAGTTTTGTGACATGGAATAAAATGTTTCATTTTGGAAAATCGATCCATCACCACAAAAATTGAATCTCTACCACGTTTAGTCTTAGGCAAACCTAGCACAAAGTCCATAGAAATATCAATCCAAGGTGCATTAGGAATTGATAAAGGAGTATACAAACCGTGGGGTTGCACTCGAGATTTAGCTTGTCGACATGTGACACACCTACCACAAATCCTCTCGACATCCCACCTTATGTGTGGCCAATAGAAGTGTTCCTGCAAAACAACTAAAGTCTTTGCAACTCCAAAATGTCCCATTAGTCCCCCTCCATGAGATTCCTGTACAAGCGATTCTCGCAAAGAACTTTTAGGCACACATAACTTATTTTCTCGAAATAGCATCATGTTTAAAGAATTTATCGCAAACAGTTTTATCACAAGCTCGATATTCATTACAAAAATCAACATCATCATAGTATAAATCTTTAATATGTTCAAAATCAAATAAATTCAAGTAAGTTTACATCAAGAGTAGAAAGTAATGCATACCTTCGAGAAAGAGCGTCAGCAACCTCATTTTCCTTACCTTGCTTGTATCGAATGACATAAAGAAATGTCTCAATGAACTCCACTCAACGAGCATGCCTTTTGTTTAGCTTGTGTTGACCTTTCAAGTGCTTCAAAAACTCATGATCAGTGTGAATCAAGAACTCCTTATGCCAAAGGTAGTGCTGCCAAGTTTCCAAGGCTCTAACCAATGCATACATCTCCTTGTCATAAGTTGAATAGTTGTGGCAGTCGAACACTAATTCCATCTTTTCCCATTCAAGATAGGCTTCAGGATTGTTTTTGCCTTGAAAAGAAGGAATGCACATCTTAATACCTGCCAAGCTGTTATCGTCTCTATTCCTAATGTCTCTAACTTGTCCACCATAACGCCTCCTCTCCACAAATACAAATCCAGCCTCATAATATTCTTTATCCTCCTTCCTCTCTCCTCTCAGTGGAACTCTCTCCCTTTGTCGATTGGAAACATTTCGTGGCTGTCTTTGTTAGATTTCTCCCTCTACCCGTTCCAATCTTTCATGAATTTGCTCTAACTCAACTCTCATCATTCTTCTGATCTCTCCCACCAATGCTTGAAATTGGAGATTAGGAACGGCAAGTTGCCTTTCCTCTTCTTCAAAATTCGTTTGGGACATGATTGAGGACCTACAATGAAGGTAGCTAAGCAATAATTCAAAATTAACAACACAAATCAAATTCTAAATTACTACAATTAAGGAAAATCCGAAATGCTAAGCAAAACATTGAGATGATGATAATGAAATACAAATTTTGATATATTGAATCAAAACAAAAGCACTACTAAACTGATTGGGACAATCATATCAAGAACGAGAAATGATATAAAATAGACCACAACAAATTTTTCAATAAAAGCTCACAAAACATGATTCATTAGTCGTTCATTAGTCTCATGAAAGTACTATGTGCATTAGTTAAACCAAAAGACATAACTAACCATTTATACAAACCATATTTTATCTTAAAAGCAGTTTTCCACTCATCATCTTCTTTCATCCTAATCTGATGATATCCACTTTTTAAATCAATTTTAGAAAACACACAAGATCCATGTAACTCATCTAGCATGATTTGAACAAAAACATGAATACGGATTTGGACAATAACAAAGAACAATTGCTTTGGACAATCAATTGAACAACTAATATGAATAATAACGAGGACAATCACATGAGCAATAATGATTTGAATATTAACAAAACACGAATATGAATAATTATGAGAGCAACTAATTGAACAAGTAATTACGAAATAAAATAACAAATTGGATTTCTTAGTAAAATTCGGACATAGATGAAAAATCGGACATAAGAGAAAAAATAAAATAACTAATCTTATCAATTATCCAAGAAAAAAAAAGAAACATCCAACAAGAATTAAAAAAACCCAATAAGAAAATTATGTGTTCAAGATCCGTGAGTCTCTGATACCAAACTGATGTGCATATATGCAAGACAGGATCGTGGGGATTGATGTTCTTATTAGAAAATCGGATGTTCATGCCGAATTTTTTTTTTCTTTCTTTTCTCTTCATTGCTGCTTGTTCCATTTCTTCTAGAAACCAAACAATAAAACAGTCCCATGGCTGGAACAAACCAAATTATAGGTAGAACCTCTGGTAAAATGGATGGATGAAGGTAAACCTTGACCCAATGCTCAACGCAAACAAGAACGTTGGTATAAGACCGCAACCCTATGCTTGACGTGAGGAAAGAACCTTGGTACAATGGAAGATGCCACAAACGGGGTGGAAATCCGCTTGATAAGTCGGGAAAGAACTCCTTAAGCGATGGCTTAGAGTTCCGTTGGAATCCTAAGGAAATTGTGAGAGACAACCCAAATGCAAGTTTTTTTTTGGCAAGAATCAGAAGTCCCCTTCGCATTTAACATAAGACCTATATATAGGCTAAAGCTTACAAGAAAACAAAAGAGAAGATAAAATATCTTCTAAAACAAATGAAAACTACATCAAGTTGGCATGCACGCTATTATTAAACCACAAGAAAAATACAAAATATTCTTCCATAATAATTTGACTCTTTTATCCTTGGGCTTGGAATAAGTTAATAAATCTTTGTGGCACTTTCTCCTTAGATCCCCATGAATTGGCTTGAGTCCAAGCCTCATGGACTAATTCATTAAGAGCTTCTTTCACCCTCTTTGTACGGCACCTAGTAATTGGCCCACATGCAACTTGAATTAAATCTTCTCTTGAAGTTGTGTCATTGCCATCCATGCTATCATTTGCATCATAAGACAAGTAATGAAATGTTCAAACTTGTGTATTTAACAATGGAGTATTTATAGAAATATTTAAGCTTATTCAATTTGTGCAGTAAATGATTATGAACAAGCTGTAATTGAGATAAGTCACGAGTAGTATGTTGAACACTCTTTTAATTTGCAACCTAATAATAGGTTAATAGGTTTCCCCATGGTTACTATGGACAATTTCTTAATTGTTCTAAATTTGTGATGTTATTAGTAGGAATTTAGCAATGTGCCTGATGGCGGTTTGGTTTGAACTAAAATGGGTGTAATATATTTGAAATGCAAGGGATTTGAAACTTTTGGTATTTGGTTTGAAGTAAATGTAATATAGATTAAAATTTCAACGAATTCCAAACTCACTCTATAATTTATTCCAACTCAAGCAATTTGGCTTAGTTCCGAATATATCCCAAGGCACGGTAGTTGCTGTAATTCATAGCTTCTGCCATTACCACCACTCATATCCATTGTTGTTACTGCCACGTATAGCCGCTGCTCACCACACTTGCTGTCGACTGCTTATTGGGGCGGCCATTGCCATCACCGGTTACCGCCGCTGCCGGCTCAGCATGCCGCCAATTGTTAACTGCCAACCAGTTATATGGTTAACTTTACATTGGATTCACTAAACTATTATCCAAATTCAAGAAAATAATCTTCTATATTTGTTTTACACAATCAAATAATTTTAAAACATTTTGAATATACCACATTTCAATTATTTTGTATTCCTTTTACTCAATCTTTCTTTTTCCGCAAATCAATCGCCCCCTAAGTTTGAGTTAATCGTTGGGGGTGCTGATTGCTTGTTTGTTGAAAATGAGTGTTAAAGCTCTTTTTTTTTTTTTTTGGGTTTTTAGGATGCTCGTGGTGAAGATGTTGACCTCAGCATCTACAAGGGCAAGGTTTTGCTCATTGTTAATGTCGCGTCTCAATGGTATTCGAGCTTGTTTGTTGAAAATGAGTGTTAAAGCTTTTTTTTTTTTTTGGGTTTGTAGGATGCTCGTGGTGAAGATGTTGATCTCAGCATCTACAAGGGCAAGGTTCTGCTCATTGTTAATGTCGCGTCTCAATGGTATTCGAGCTTCTCCTTGCTGACTATATCTTGCTATTTATTTTTTTAAAAAATTACTTTCAAGTTTTCAGTTTCTGAACTTAATGATTTTCTGATGCAGTGGGTTAGCAAACTCAAATTATACTGAGCTGACTCAGTTGTATGACAAGTACAAGGATAAAGGTAATCCCTTTGTCCAATGTATCAGCTTGGAAGTTCCAATTTTTCTATCTCTCTATTCTGATTATGTTGTTTATTTATCATCTGTTGCTTACTATAAATAATAAATTTTAGTAGGATTCAGAAGCTAGATTTCTTTGTGCTTTACCTTATAACATAATACTAAAATTTACTCTTGCATGGACATACGCTGCAAAGTAGTTTATACTGTATTTGCTGAAAAAGATTTCTTAAGGGCATAGGGATCGCATTTTTAAACCCACTTGACTTTATTTTGAACTTATTAACTTAAGAGGCATTTATTCATATAGCACCCTATTTCTATGTTTTTACATATCTAAAACCTTAACATTACTTTTTACTTTTCTTCCACCCAAATTTTTTATATCACTTAGAAATACCATTATTATAACTTTTACAAAGTGAAATACAACTTTTCAAGCATAGTTAAGGGGGCATATTTGTAAAAGTGAAGTTTAGGAAATACATAGGAATTGAGTGGGTATGTATGTAAATCTTCCTTAAATGTATAGCCAAGTAAAATTCCACATTTTTCAAAAGAAGTATAAAAATTGATTGTAGTTATTTTGAAAATTTTGGACAATAGGTTTTTTAACAACTATCATTCTTAAGTAGCCTTAGGGTGTGTTTGTTTGGGCTTTTAAAATCGTGTTTTGAAGCCAACCAAATTTCAGGGGTGTTTGATTTGCGCGGTCAGGTCAACCTCTATGTTGCATGAACTCCGTTTTAGTTTAGATCACGACGGCAGGAGCCACTATGTGTCCCACATTTCATTTTTTTTTGACTGATTTACGGAGAGCCTCGAGTTCGTGTCCTTACCCACCCACTGGAGTTCATGCAGAATTGGAGGTTGAGGTTCCTATCGGGAAGGTCTCAAGAATGGAGGGAGCTACTCGATGCCCTAGCTCGAGCCCCTGTTCTCTCCTTTGCAGGAGCTCTCATTGCCATGTTGAATCCTTGTTGGAATAAAAGCTGCAGGAATTGAGGTTGTCCCTGGATGCTAATGGGACGCTTGTCTTGACCTCACTGTCAGCCACGTTGCCGACTCATCTCTCGCCGGAAGGCCCGGATCCATGACGAAAACTTTTTTTTCATCAGCTCCAGCTTCTTCTCTTTAATGTTATTGCATTTCTGAACATCAACAGTTAGCTGAAATGCTTATTTACTTTGATGGTTTTTATGCCCCAAGTTTCTGGCTTTTGATTTGGGTTTTATGGGATCTCTTCTATGCAGGGAAATGTAATTATTAGCTGGAGAGGGGTTTAAATTGCCACTTATTTCTGTTTTTTTTCTAATATTTCTGTCATAATGATTTGATTCAAATTAATGCTGGAGTCATAATGCTTATCAGTTGATATGATGATCTTAAAATTGTAAGGCAAATGACATGCTTTAGATTGTGGTTGTAGATGCTGCACGTCTAAAGCTTCCCAATTTTTACCTAAACTAGTATGATTATTGATTGAATTACACACATTCTCACTTTTTATAATGAAGATTTGCATACATAACACTAGAAAAATGCCTATTTAGAAATTTAAACTAGTATGTTTATGTATCATCGAGTGCGGAGAATTTATACATCGAAAATACGTATGAATTCTATATCAAATTTTCAAAGGAGCACTCTAGACTTTTGTCCATAGATAACATTTTCAAAAATGTATTTTTCAAACATAACTATTTCTTCTGAAACAACTGCTTTTGAAGAACATATTTTCAACAGTAGCTTTTGAATTGAAATTTCGTACAGCAACAACCGAAACAAACACACTGTTAGACTTAAAAAGCTGCTGCTCACATAAATTTTTGAACAACAATAAAGTTGCACGAAAATTGAAGTGAGGACAGATCCAAATGAGCAAAGTTTTAGAAATAAACCCTTGATTATTTACATGGTGCTATTTTAGTTTCGTGAAATGTGGGCTATTATTGTTCCAGTGTCTATAAATTTGCCAAATTATGTCTTATATTCTTTTAATACGAGCTGAAATAGTCTCAAGAAAGAACTATTTTATTTTAGCCCCCAATTAAGACTGTCTCGGGACTAAATTGACACTTTTATAGACTTTAGGACTAAAATGACTACTTATAAAGAGTCAGGGGACTATTTTTACAATTTTCTCGATCCTAAATATAATGCTAAAGTAAATTTTTGAAGAACAACAATAATAAAGATGCTGGAAAATAGAATTGTGGACAGATCTAAATGTGCGAAGTGTCAAAATAGTCTCTCGACTATTTACATGGGGCTATTTTAAGTCTCAAAGTTCATAAATGTGTCATATTAGATCTCATACTCTTCAAATATGGGCTCAAATATTCCCAGGAAAGGACTATTTAAAGACTAAATTGACACTTTTATAAACTCCAGGACTAAAATGGCCCCCCTGGAACGAGTTAGAGGACTAGTTTGGCCCCTTTCTCGATATCAAACTCGCTTACATCTATGAACACTTTTGTTTTTTCTTTCAATTATTCATGGTTTTTTTGGTCTTTGTAGGTCTGGAGATATTGGCTTTCCCATGCAATCAGTTTGCAGGTCAGGAGCCAGGAAGCAATGAGGAGATTGTTGAATTTGCCTGCACGCGCTTCAAAGCTGAATACCCTATCTTTGATAAGGTATGTTAATTTTTTGCTGGGCTTTGCTTGCCTCTGGTTTGGTTTGCTGCAACTGTTTCTTTTTCTGGAAAATGTACATATATACCACACAATTCCTATATATTTACATGTCTAATGCCTAAAGTTTGATTTTTATATTTATAACACTTGGTATCTTAAACTTTGAATGAAAGTGAATTTCACTTGAAAGTTAGTATTTACATATTTAACACCTAAACTTTACTTTTTTACAGTAATACCAACTAAATCTTTCATATCAATAAAATTATCACCTTTTTACTTTTCAAAAGTGAAGTGTACTTTTTCGTGCAAAGGTAGTGGCATGCATATAAGAATTGAAGTGGTATATATGTAAATCCTGGCTATAGAATGGTGGTCATTAATCAATAGGACAGTATTAAATAGTTCTAAACACACTGCACTACTATAGATTATGGAAATTTTACAAACATACCACAGAATTCTTTTGTATTTACATATTTAACACCTAAAAAATGATATTTACACTTAGGTGCTATAAACCTATGCATGAAAAGGTGTATTTCACTTTTAACAAGTTAGTAATAGTGGTATTTTTGACGTGATGCTAAACATTTGGGTGATATGTATATAAATATGAAGTTTAGTAGTTAGATATGTAAATATTGTTAGAATGTGTGGTTTGTATGTAAATGTCTTAAAGATTATTGGTCGCACAAACATTTTGGCATGAATCTATTAACATTAAAGCACTATTTGAACCAGTTTTGTATTTCTGCGTTCCTTAGGTTGATGTCAATGGAAAAGAAGCCGCCCCCATCTACAAGTTCCTCAAGTCGAGCAAAGGGGGGCTTTTTGGCGATAGCATCAAATGGAACTACTCCAAGTTCTTGGTCGATAAAGAGGGTCATGTCGTGGACCGCTATGCTCCCACCACCTCCCCCTTGAGCATTGAGGTAAAGCCTTTTCATCGTCGGTTATCTTATGGTCGTCTTAGTTTTATTTGTTTAGATTTTTATGGGAAAAAAAACTGCACTGAACAAGCATGTTTTTATAATAAACTTAAAACCCAAAAAATAATAGTGAACCCAAAACAAGCCCTCATAATAGCGAGTGAAAGATTCCTATATTTACGCTCTTCTCGAAGAAGAGCAAAATTCTCAATAAATGTAGCAATCACACAACCATCATATTATGGTCATCCCACCAATGAGATCCCACCAATGAGTTATCATGGGCTGTTGAAGATCTGATTTCGAAATCGGCTTGAATGGATTTAGTTCGGCTCGTGGCTCAATATATTGGATTTCGAGTCAACTTTGTTCCAACCATTGAACCGACGATCCGACTCAAAGTCGAATCATGCTAGCTTAAATGAAGCTATTTGGTTTCATTTTAGCTCAAAATCAACTCAATCTGGCTCGAAATGGAAACTAGCTGGTTTAAATTGAGTTAGTTGGATCTGTTCCAGCTCAAAATCAGCCCGTGAATTGTTATATTTAATTTTATTCAGCATTATATGTATAATTTTAATAAGCAATAAGTATTTTGAGTCGATCTCAAGCCAGTTCGAGCCGATTCTTATATGATTTGAATCAGCTATAAAAAAATTCGATCAAAAGTTTTGGCTTATGTTAAGAATTATAATAGGAAATAATTTATTCCTATAAGAAGTTATGAAGAAAAAATTATTTCCTTAGATTAATGAGATATTTCCTTTCTTATTTTATATTTATTTTTTTAGATTAGGAATTATTCATTTTCTTATTTTATGTTATTTCCTATATCTTCTAATAATTAAAATAAATTAATTTTTGGAGATATCAGGTGATATATCTTTTCTTTCATATTGTTTCGTATTTATTATTATTATTTATTATAATATTCTTGCAAGGGTTATTTATACCCTTATTCATATGAATGAAACAATGTAATATTCCACTTTATTCCGTATTATTCTGAATTTCAACATGGTATCAGAGCAAACATGATTCTGAGTCTTACCATCTCCTACGGTCATCCTTTGATGCTGCAGGACTCCCTTCCTGTTTGTGCAGGAAGGGAGGACACTCATCTTGGTATTTAAAACAATAATTTTTTCTTCTTCTCTCCATGTAAGCTTTCTCTACTGGCAGACCCTTCCTGAATCGAGAGCTTCAACTTTGCCAACCTCCAAAAAATCTATAGCCGGTGTCCCCTCAGTCGAGACAGAACATGTTGCGTTCGTTGCGCACGACGTCTGATTGAGTAGAACAAATCTAGAAGAAGGGGGCCGTGACCAGGGGCTCCAGCCAAAGCAGCACCAGCGATGCCACCACCCGTCTTATCGTCATCTCGCCGGAGATATCGCTGCCGTCTATCGGACAATGTCGACAAAATCCATTGCTGACTCTTTCTCCTGCAGTATTTTTTTTTCCCTGGCTCAAACGTCAGGGGAGCTCTGTTTCCAGCCGCCCTTTCTTCTGCTGCTTTCTTTGTCAGTAGAATTTACTGGGTGTGATTTACATGTTTTCTCTGCAGCTAACGACAACCACGGTCAACTAAAAGTCAGTTTTCCTGTAGGTTGTCTTTTTCCCTGCAAACCTCTATCTTCCTTCTACGCCGAAACACATGATATATAAATTCAGCAAATTCAGCAAAGCCTGAACCTCTACTTTTTGCTGAAACACATGACAGACAAAACTCAAAATTCAGCTAAACCTGAATCTAGCAATTTCGATAATTCAAACGACTTTTTTTTCTTCACTACCCAACAAGTTAGGACTTATTAACATACATTTCAAACTTGAGGGGGTGTGCTAAGAGTTATATTAGAAAATAATTTATTCCTATAAGAAGTTAAGAGAAATAAATTACTTCCTTAGATTAAGGAGATATTTTCTTTACTTTTTTATATTTATTTTCTTAGATTAGGAATTATTCCTTTTCCTATTTTATGTTATTTTTTATATCTCCTAATAATTAATTCATATATCTCCTAATAATTAATTCATATATCTCCTAATAATTAATTCATATATCTCCTAATAATTAATTCATATATCTCCTAATAATTAATTCATATATCTCCTAATAATTAATTCATATATCTCCTAATAATTAATATGAATTAATTATTAGAGATATTAGACGATATATTTCCTTTATTATTATTTTTTTCTATTATATGATTCTTCTAATTGTTATTTATACCTCGTTCATATCAATGAAACAATATAGTATTCCACTTTATTCCGTATTATTCTGAATTTCAACAACTTATAAGCCGCCTTATTTATTTCAATCGGATCTCGATCTAAGCCAATATTTGAATCAATTTTCGAACGATCACGATCTTCGAGCTGAATTCACAACCCTAGTTATCATCATGATTATGATACATTTTGTGTGTTTGAACATTTGCAGAAGGATATCAAGAAGCTTCTGGAGACTTCTTAGGCGCTGGATGCCCAAGCCTGTGAGCTACACAAAATGTTTCTATGGGGGACTTATAGCTGGATAAAGTTAGACGTTATTCCGTCTTAATATGGTTACCAACCTTATCTATTGTAATAAGGTAACAATTATGATGTTATATCTTGTCCTCATAAACATATCAGTCTTTGTAAACTTATTTTTAGTTATATTTGCAATGCAATTTAGAATAGTTTAATGGACTCGGGTGTCAATTTGTGCTACTTTCAGGGTGAGGACCGTGGGTAGTTCATGTTTGTTATTTTTGGTAACGTCTACAAATATGTCATGTTATGCAACCAAGTGTTACAATTATAAATATATAGTTAACATAGTAGGTATGAAAATACGTAAGAATTGTGGTTTGTAGATAAATGCCCCAAAATATATAAATATTATTTTTGTGCCATCTTTATTGGTGGGATAGATCGGGCATTTACAAGCAAACCACCCAAATTCTGTATATTTGCATTTTCAATACCTTTAAACCTTATTTTTTTACATTTATGCCAACCAAATCTTCCATATAATATAAAAAAAAAATATTACCATTTTAAAAAGGAAAATGCACATTTTCAAGTAGGGCTGTCAAAACGGCTCGTTATTCGCGA